ACTATATTCAAAAATAATATTCTAAAATTAAATGGTGTCTAGGTAGGAAATATTTCTTTTGTACTGTCCAGTGTCCAGGTGTGAAGTAATTGTTGGAAGGAAAGAAAGAAAAGGAAGAAAATGTGCTGGTGGTGGAAGATATAGAGAGAGATGGAATGGGAGCCAAGTCTCCAGTGATTTAAATATTCAAAAGTAAAAATTAACATTCAGAATACAAATAAATATTGAATATAAAGAGACATAAAGAAAGAAGAAAATCACTATTCAACAAAATTGGTAATATCAACCTCAATTAACACTTTAAAAAAACTCATCATCAATTTTCAACCACCACATTGTGAATTGACTAAATTCAAGTGACTTTCAAATTAAGAACTTATAGCCTAAATTTTTTTATTCTCATTATTAGCCTATGTCATTTTATTTAGCCTATTTTAGTACTGTATAAATTAAGTTAATTAGCCTATCAGAATTTCATACCCGGCACGAACCAACCCCTAGATTTAAGATAATTTGCTCTCCAAATTGTTATCTAGCCTAGCCCATCAAAAACCTAGACCAAAATATATTTCACTGTCATAGCCTAGCCCAATGAGATTGTTAATAGCTATAGAACCTAAATATATTTTATTGTAACTTTATGGGAATTTTATTATCTATTTTAAGTAAATTCATATTTTGAAATCCATTTATAAAGAGGAGTAGGTTGCAGCTTATCAACCTATGTTTACATTTAGGATTTTCTTCTCACTCCCAACGGGCCACTCCCTTGAAGAAGTAGAGCATCACTGAATAATGTGTTAAAATGAATTTCTTTCCCAGTAACTGTGTACCAAGTTTTTGAAGCTCTATCTTTAAAACGTTTTGTAATATTTCACTTTCCTGTGATTTTTCCCACTCTATACGTATCATATTTTATATACTGTTATATGCGCAGTGTTAATGTATGTAGCCTTCAAAATGTTGTAAATAATCTATTTCTGGCCTAAAACATTATTGACGTCAGCCACGGCCTCAGTAAAATTCGCATTTCACTACACAACTCATTTGAATATTTTAATATTTAATATTGACCTTATGGGTTGCCAAGTAACTATGTTGGTTGAACAAATTAACAAAGAAAACGTAAACAAAAGACTTGTAACATGCGTTTTTAACAATCCATTCACAACATTCTAGCAAATTATAATATAAAGTACAAAGGGGAAATCATGAGTTGTTATTATTGAGCAAATATTACAATGAAGATTAATACGATCAAATACTGATTATTTTCTTGACTATCTCCTACTAAAACTTAATCCGCGAAGTATTGAGCCAAACTTTGGTTTACAGTGGAATATTTAAAAACATTATATTCATTTTATGTAAATTTCAAAAGAATAGTGTAAATACGTGCTTCTTGTAATGGAAAAATGTTGTGGCAACAACATTTTTGGACAAAAAAAAGCTATTGACACAAGTTCTTTATATTCAACATCTTTCGGAGGCTAACAACAACAAAGTAAATTAAATGTTAAAAAGATTTTTAATTGGCTTTTTAAATGTAAACTAGCTTCCAAGACAATGTTTATTCGAGTATAGGCTATTAATTGCAAACGAGTGATTTTTACTATCGACTGTAAAATAAATTAATATGTTTTGGATTGCAAGGTTAAAGTTTCATAATTGTTTTTGAAATTAAAATTCAACTGAAACTTAAATAATAAAGGTAAAAATGTGTTGTAAATAAAACGTGATTTTCCTTCGTATAGCTTTTACAATCGAAATAAACTAAACCAAGCCATTGCTCCGACCCCGATACTATTTTATAAAGAAACGTAATTAACAGAATTTTAGTTCAAAAATTAAGTAGCTGTTCATTGATAAAGTTGATCAACAGTGTGTAAGTGGAGGGTACTTGTAATCTCGTACTTGAAATTGCCAATACATTATGTCATTGCGTTTAACATGTGCACGTGCACTTAGACTCAATATCAGTTCAGCCATCAAACATACTGACCCGAATGTTGTAAGTATGTTTATTGAGCACAGTAATGTTTTTACAATATTGCAATTTTTTTTGGTTTACATAAAAAAAAAACTGTAGAAAAGATATAATAAGCAATAAGTGATCAAATTGCACTCTCAGCAAGCCTCTTGTGTCAATATTTTCCCTCACACTAGTAATTTGCTCACTAGGCGCAAAATAACTACCATAGGTTATTTCTGTAGGTTATTTCTGTTATTCTATGAATAACTACCATATTTATGTCCTCGGCATCATGGATTTCAACCCTTCTTAATGAACAATAATTTTACTAATTAAATGTTATCTACTATGTTCTTAAATTTATATTAAAAGACTTGTTAAAAAAGTTTATTAATCAATTATTTTCATTGCAAACATCAACACTTTTGACTTTTGAGAAAATGTTGCACAAGCCCTAAAAGTGCATAAGTGCATTTCCTTATAACTGAGTATAACATTTCGCACACACTTGTGTCCGTCGAATGTTGGATTCAATTTAATTAATAAAACAAAACAAAAATATGTTACTGGGCGCTATACGAGTATTGTGAAAGCGTGTAAAATTAAAAATGTAAGTAATAGCCTTAAACTTGAAATTCATTGTACACTCATGCGATCGAATGGTTCAACTTCGAACATTATAGGGCTTGGGATCCAGGGTGAAAAGTGTTGTGTTCATAGCAAAGTAAAGCTAATCACTTGTACTGTATGTCCTTTCAAACTACTACTCTAAATGAATGTTTTACTTTTCAACTCAAAATCCACTATGACTATGCGGATAACATACAAGTTTATATGTTTTAAACTCGCCCCAGGCCCCCTAGCTGTTAGTCTTTATTAGTAGATTAGAGTTAAGTTGTAACAAAGCAGTCAGTGAAACAGTCAATATTACGTTATATGAATTTCACGAATACATTAGAGGAGGTTGGCAAGTTAATTTCAAGCTCCACCTTAAAGAACCCCTTATAAAGAAATCTTTGCGGTAACAGATTATGTTAGTAAAGTATGTTCACAACTGAGTTTTTGGTTTTATCGAAGTAATAATATAAGGAGAGTAGGGTTTGTGAATAGTGAAAATCGAAATAAAATAAAAAACGAATTTTTTTACAAATACATTAGAGTAGATAGACATTTAATAAGTTGATATTAGTAAAGTGATATATGAAGTAAAAAGGTTATTCAAAAACTATAAGAGATATCGAAAAAGTTAAATGTAAGTGCCTTGGATTTTTTATTAAAAATTTTAGTCCAGTCGAAAAAAAATATTTTAGCCGCCATTTTTTTATTCAACCCTTCTTATACTCTTTATACTGTTAATAATAATTACTGTATTCATCATGTTGGCATAATCTTGATTGGTAAAAGGCTCCATATTTTAATAAATGTTGAAAAACTCTTAATTGACTTGGAAATATAAAGTTAAAACAGCAAATTACTCAATAAGGTATGTTCAAGCAGCTGAGTTATCTAGCTATAGATGACAAATCAATAAAAGCTGACTTAATCAAGCACAAGGTAAAACTAATTACACAGCATTTAAGAATCAAACACACTACATCTTTGAAAATGTGAAAAACCTTGAGTTTATACATTTTATTAATTCAGATAATTTTAATAAATATTTAAAAGTTAAAATAATGTACAACTTTTATCAGATAGTTCAATAAAATACATCATGGAGTACACAGTAATTATTATTAACAGTAAAACTGTGCAAAAACAAAATCTGTAAACCGTGTTTTATTGCAGTTTATTAGTAATTTCTCACTGGTTTATATCAATAATAGTATTGAATAGCATATCATTTGAAAGATTATTAAAATGCCAAGTTTTTTATTCATTTCAACATTGCATAAATGCAGATTTATGTATCAAAGGAGGCCCATGAAAATTATCGTAATAAATTAATTTAATGACATTTTTACTTTATTTTGGTTATAACGTGGACTATGTAATGGTATAATTGTTGAATGAAACCTTTGATTTATAGCAAATTTAATGTTCTTTCCAATGATTTTAACTATAACTCTCTAAAGTAATTGGTTAAGTTTTTATTACATAAATTGTGGAGCAAAGTCTAATAAAATAAGAAAAACACAAAATCCCCCAAAACAGCCAAACGGTCGAAAATCGGACATGGGTTTATAGGAACTTTTTTGTTCCTTTTAGTGAGTAGAACCCACTGGCGAAGTTAACACGGTCAGTAGAAACTCACCCTAGCCGCCAACTTTGATTTTTCTTATGGGACACCCTGTATTTTATGCTGTATTCCGGTAGAAAATGTAATTTTAAGACAATTTTACTCTTGTGTCTTTTTTCATAAACCTAACCGTTTCAAAGATAATGGTTAAAGTTGTGAAATTTCAAATAATTTTCGAATAAAACAGCTGGCATGCTTGCTTTAGGCCTAAATTAAAACTCTTTCTCATGCCGAAATTTCAAAACTTTAACTATTTTTATCTTCAAAACGGTTAGGTTTATGAAAAAACACAAGAGTAAAATTGTCTTAAAATTACATTTTCTACCGGAATACATCATAAAATACAGGGTGTTACATAAGAAAAATCTAAGTTGGCGGCCATATTGGAAAAATGGCGGCTAAAATGTGTTTTTTCGACTTGACTACAATTTTTACAGTAAAAAATCCAAGGCACTTACCATTTAGCTTATTTTGATATCTCTTATAGTTTTCGAATAAAACAGCTGGCACACTTATATCAATCACCCTGTATTTAAAAAGTAACGCGAGAAATTATAATATAACTTAACAAATTGGGGCTTACTAGTTATATTTATCATTTGTCTTTTTCTTCTACAGTAATGATCCTCATCCAATAAAGAGCAATCCCTAATGGAAACAGGATAAAAACCACCTAATTCTTTAAATTAGAAAATATTCTAATGCCATAATAATAGTTATTTCAAATTCAGTTGTTTATGCTCTTTAAAAAAATGAGTAAAACACAACTAGCAGTTTCAAACTATTCACCCTAAGTTTGCTTCTAACAGTTTTTGAAGCACTCTGCAGCATAGGACACTGTGATTCGTTGCTACGTCGTGGACCGAAGCATCGTGAATTACTAGGCGTTACTGGAGCGGCGCCGGCGTTGTTTTGTCCTCCACTACACTGCAACAACAGGATCAAGTTATATCAAAATCAGCAACGCATCGTGAGGTACTATAATTATATTACCAGAGCATATCCGTAAAGGACGTCATAAAAGATCTATTCTTAAAAACAAAGCTAGTGTCCTTATTACATAGCTGTGTTTACATTATATCATGGATTTTATAGTAACATGACAATAGAGTATTTAAGCCCTCAACTGTAAACAAAGATTTCTGGACATAACACTTGTGTAAGTAGTTAATGCAACTGTTGCATTTTGCATGCTGTATTGATACAGTGACTGTAAAACTTACACTTACGCAAAAAAAAGTTAACAGGTCTACGAAGAAGTCACAGCTTTTAATATAACGAAGAGAGCTCTGTGAGGCTGTGATAACATTGCTATTGACAAAGAAAGAGAATGCGGTCGCATTATTGACCTAATAATTCGTCTCGAGACAAACGAAAGTCAGCCTATGGAAGTCCACGAAGAAAAAGTGAAGATATATAAGAAAACTATCCCCTATTATTCGGAAAATATAAAGTATCAACATTTGATGTTTATGGATTACTAATTGGTTCAAGATGAACAATTCCTAATTAAGTCTAACAATTTTGGAAGAAGTTCAATTTGGAGAAACAAGTGTTATATTTAATGTCTTTGACAGCCATTAAACTTTCAATTAGCATGATAAGAAACCACCATTATAATTATAATAATTCTTGTTTCATATTTAGTTTTGGACAAACTTGTAAAATAGTTATGTTATATTATTCTTTGTTCTACAGCAGAGAACAATGTTCAAGAAGATGTAAATTTTAAAAATAAATTACAATTTATATACAGTAATCATAAAGACTAGCAAACAAGGTTTACTGGTCAAATTCGTTTTTTGATTGATCCTTGCGTGAGTTGAATAAAATTAGATCCAAAATTAAATTACTGTTCTTGTGTTTCTTATAAAGTTATTAGATCAATATATGTATAAATACAATGGATAAAAAATCTATCATACACATTGAAAACAGTCCATCTATTGTTAGCAAGCCAGGCGTATAGTTTAGCTCAAAGATAGTTAGTTGTTTATCACAACAGAGTTACTGATAGTAAACGCATGGATTCATTATTCTTGTATCCTACAAGTGTACCCTGACTCCAAGCAATATCCTGTCTCATGATCTTCCTTAACAATTTGAATACTATTTTCACAAGCCATTCTTTAAAGGATTGAAACAGAATTTGATAGATTCAGCGTTTTCTATCATAGGGGATGGTTATATGAGGTATGAACTAGCATTTGTATTGTCTGCGGAACCCTTGTATACGATGACCCGTAGAGAACCTTTGTCTGTTATGCAATGTTCAATGTTATGTATACTAGTTGATTTAAAGCACAATTTAAAGTAAATTTCAAATGTAATCGTAATTTCAAAGTTATTTGGAACCAAGAATTTAATTATTTGATTCGATAAATAGACACGTACATTATTTTAACAATATTCATAGTCTTTTCAGAATCGGTTGTTTCTTCCCTATTAAACATTTTGACAATATCTAGATCCATTATTACGTTAGGTAGTTAGATTCATTACAATTGTTAGTTTCTACATAATTTGAAATAGCCCTATTTACTGTACTTTAGAGAATAAAAACACAAGGAGATGACAAAGGCTGATTATAAAAACTGTATCAGCAATCTGGCACATAAGTAAGCAGTGGTAGTTACAATGGTATTTTTAAAATAAAAGGGTACATTTTTACTATAGTTTACATATTTCGGACAGCTATATTCAGTTGAATCAGTATTAAAGTTAATTGTTGATTACAATAATCTGTATAGTAAACAATAAAGACTTGAATCGGATTTATCTTCCTTCAGATAAGCCCCCGTACTATAACACACACTAGTAACACACACTACTAGTAACACACTACTAGTACTAGTAACACACACTCAGTAAGTAGAGTTCATTCTCGGCATGAGGTAAAATGGGTCCAAACAATTTTGCCATCACATATATGTATTATTATTTTTAGAATGTTACACAAAAAATAAAAAATAAATGAAATTGGCATACAAGTGCTGTAATAATTCTCAATAATACAACTTTTTTCCACTACAGTCATAACCTATTAGCTAACGCCATTACCGCATAGAGTAAACAGTCTCCTGACTACAGAACTAACTTTTACCATAGATAACATACTCCCTTAGTAGATTTCTCATACTTATGGAACAGCTGAAGACAATTTTATTGTTAGTTCTGTACGGTTTATGTAGAGGTCGTGTTTTGTTTACAATTTGTTTCCAGTTATTACAGTCATTTAAAACCTCGTTTAACCAATTAATACGATCTAATCATAAACAATAACTTGTCCCCTAGTTATATAACCATACAATGTTGTACAAATCAAGAAATTGACCCTAAAATAATAAAAACAACATTTCATTAACACTAGCGCCCAGTGTCACCGTACATGAACTAGACACGAAAAACGTGCTTCGAAATGTTCAATGGGACAAGAAGTCTACTTGTGTTGTTTAGTCTATGCTTTTACCAAATTACGAAACTGGCACTATATCAACCTATGATTCAAGATTGAGTCGTAAATGAATCATATGGAACGTACTCATCGCCTATAAGCCCTGAGATGCCTTTTATTATAATATATCTCATATCAAAGCGTGTTTGGAGCATATTTACCCCGCGTGGACATTTTACGGTTTAACCTTTTAACCCTAGCAGATAATCACCAAATTAACCCTAGATTAAATACATATAATCTCAAGAATCACACTAACATTTAGATTTACCGTCGTGTTAGTGCTGGTGGTGCTGGTGCGGTGGTGTTTGCCCGTGGTAGCAGGGGTAGAGACTGCGGGGGAACTTCCGGTGGAGACGTTAGCCGCCAGCTTGGCTTCCGGTGGCCCCCCACCATTCTTGGCGCTGTGAACAAAGTTATCAAATTTATGATTATTAGCGATAACATCTTTAATATTTGAAGAGTTTCATATGCACTTTTCCAATATTAACATACTCTTACATATGAGGACAACAGTTATTTAGCAATGTGCAGACTGAATTAGTTTTGCTTCAGAAACCCAATATAATCCATTCATTGACGTATACATTAAATTAATAATGCATTACTTGTATTATTAACTGTTAATTAATAATACATTAATTGTAAATTATTAATACATTAATTGTAAATTATTAATATATTAATTTAATTGTACTTTGTACTCTGTGCAAAGCTATTAATACTGATAAAAAACCAAAAGTTTCACAAAATGTTAATTTAATCAAATATGCATTTTTCTTTAAAATAATTAGTTACAGTGAGAAATTTATTAATGGTTAGATATTTATCATTTTAAAGTTTAATACTAAATAGAATTGTTCTTTATTTTACTGTACAGTCCTCCAAGGAAACTAACGATTTCATGACCTCTTTGGAAAGGTGCACCTCTGTGCAAAACACTGACTCCACTTTCCAACTGATGTTTGTAGAAAGCCCAGTATGTATCGTTTGTGTTGAGACACATATCTCACTGTTGCTTCCTGAGTAATTAGCTTTAATTGGAATTGATCCCTCATATTGTTTTTAATAATTTTGCAGGAATTCAGGAGTTAAATTATTCTTTGTGTCCTCTTCATCATATAGTACTATTTATTGGAAGCTGTACTTTCAGTTGTAATTATTTTATTGAGTTTTAACGAAACAACTTGTTAAGGTCTTAAAAAAACATAGATTGGTTCATTGCTTAGGTCGCATAATCATGCATGGGGTTGGAAAACTATTACACCCTTAACCATGGAAAATTTCGTTACACCAAAATTTGCATAGTCCTTTATAAAAGTTACTTGGCTTTTTAAGAGTCCTACAAAGTCACCAGCCTATGCAGTTTTGGCGTTTAAAGTTTGTCTTGCTGCCCATAAAGGTTAGCTCATTCTTCAATAGTATGCATACTTGTCACTTCATTTGGTGCCATCTTAATACTTCTGTGTATTCTGCAGTTTTATGAGTCAAAATGCCTTACCAAAATATGTATACAACGGTAGTTGTTGTTGTGTGTAAGGTAACGCCTCAATTATGTTTTCAAAGCCCGGTTGAACCCTTTCAACAACAACGGCTTATACATCAGTATTCTTGGTAATGAAGAACTTTATAAGGTTATTTTTTAGAAACTTTGTAATTCCTCTTGTTGTACATTTTGGCCTTTATCAGTTTGTAAACGTTTAGGTTTGTCCTCGACAAAAAATAAACTGACGATTTGTACTACTATAATAGCCGTTTATTTTTTAGTACCTTTGCATAGGATTTCTTACTTAAAACATCATTAACAGCCAAAATATAATTTATTCTGTAATTACTCTTGTAGGGACCTCCTTTATCGTTTGGACCACATTGCCATAGTTTATTGATGGAAAATACTACAAATCGGTTTCCAAGATATAATAAATACGTTTGTCTACTCTTCATTCTGTGAGATTCTTTGAAAAACTGTTTCTTATGAACTGGAAAATAATATGTTTGTTGCAATCGATGCTACAATGAATGAAGTTCGCGTATTAGAGTGCCTCCCCCGTATTGTGTTCAACTAGATACGTGTATTAGAGTAGCACAATGAGTCATTAGGCTCACGTACCCATTGTCACAGCTATGAACACTAGAACAACTACTACAATAATACCCCTATACTACCCATTGTCACAGCTATGAACACTAGAATAACTACTACAATAATACCCCTATACTACCCATTGTCGTTGTACCCTGTACGTTGTGTAACGTAGATCGTAAAGGTAAGGGTTGAGACTTTTTAGGTTATTTATTAGTGTTAAGGTTAACCCGGGTAATAATTTAACTGAAATATTTGGTAATAAAGAATTGTAAGGATTTAAACATGTAAACAGATATATACAATTACTAAAAGTATGTTTTCATAACCATAAAAACAACGCAGGAACACATTTAGCAAATCCTGATTCTGTAAATTTTTATTTTTAGTTTGGCGCTTTGTAGTTTTCATTTCTATTCAATTGGATACAATGCGATATATGAATAATCCATTAACAGGTAATTAATCAACAGTTAATTTAGTGTAATAAACTCTGTTAAACAGTAAACATTTTTTCTACAATTTTTTTTTATTGGTTCAAGAATATTAAAAATATATTATCGATTGTTTAATAGTAAGTAGAAAGGCATTACAATGATACTTTAAACATTACAGCCAAATTGACTCACTTATTAATTAGTGTTTTGTACATTTAATTCTCCATAGACTATTTTGCTACGTTTAAAGTACTTTATTTTGTATGGAAATTACAAGCCTCTTTAAAGTTATGTGCATATGACTTTCTAGGTTCTAGTTAGCTAGTTGAACATAACCTTATGGCTGGATAGCAGTAAGAGGTTAAAGATTGTGTGGGCGAGCTGGACTAGTGTTTAAAGCGTGGGGCTTCGGTTCCTGAGGTCCCAGGTTCAAACCCGCCAAATAACCAATGGATTTTTATTTACCTAAGTAATAATGCCGCAAAACCTAGGTCTAGCCTGAAGTGATAAAAAAACAATTCCGGGATCGTGCCTGGCGTCCTAGGAAAAAATTGGTTGAAGGTAGGTTAAGTTGGCATTGTTAATTTCACTAGAGAATGATTATTGTTTGTACTAAGTATACACTACCTGATCTCTAGATAGCAATGCGAGGTTTCTAAGTGGCTTTGTGCTCGACGCTCCTCAAGAACTATTTTCCTCGCCGCACGGAAAATTTTGTAGTAGACAAATATCATGACGGCCAGAGGAATGTAGAAGGAGAGAAGAGTGGCGTAAATCTGGTAGCCAAAGTCCTGACACACTAGGCAGTGTTCTCCACCCTCGTATCTGAAATCATAGCAATTTAATGACGCTTTAGGTAATGTAACTTAGATACATAATGAAAAAATACATTATTTCAATTCAAATGTTTAATTTTTTTGTATAAGCCTTAAGCAATTTACAGTAAAGCAGCTATTTTTGTTTCATAACTAACAACGAATATATTGGTTCTATTTGTAACACGAAAGTTTAAAATTACAAGTTTGAATATAAAGTAGATTATGAGTAATTCCAAAACAATTTTTGGGTGATTAAATAATAGGTTTATGCGCAATATGTTTAATAATGCGATTGAAAAGTGTATTTAAAGATGTCAACGAACACATTAAAATACATGTGGTAAGGCTACATATTCTATTGTTCTACCACAATATAAGTTATGATGGTGTCGACACTTGACCAGGCTCAACAGATTCGTTGATTGAATAGAACGAAACTACCGTTGCATTAAAACAAACACGTGTTTGATAGCTATGTATATATCTTTTAAGTTTTATTATTATTCGAGACTGCGCTCCTGACCTTTCTCTTTGTGAGGGGTGATATTATGGCTCGACTGTTTGTTTTTTTCGCCAAAAATAATTAATGTGAAGAGAGTTTTAAAAGATATTTTTTTTTTTTGTATTTGTATATTTATCACATATATTTATCATATGAGTTAACACAATTTAAACAATTGTGAAACAGCATTTGATACCTGTTTCCGAGGATGAGTAGAGGAGGCAGACTGATACAAGCGGCCGCCAGCCACACCAGCGTGACACAGGCGATCATGCGTCTGGGGGTCCGCTTGACACCGTACTCCAGGGGCTTGGTGATGGCGTAGTAGCGGTCCACACTGATCATACACAGGTTCAAGATGGACGCCGTGCAGGACAACACGTCGAAGGAGACCCAAACGTCACAGACGATGGGACCGAAACTCCAGCGGCCTAGGATTTCGTAAAGGAGAGCCATAGGCATGACGAGAATCGCGACACAAAGATCAGAGACTGCCAGAGACACTAGCAGGTAGTTACAGGGGCGACGCAGCTTCCGGACTAGGCAAACCGCTACGCAGACTAGGATATTGCCGATGATGGTGACGATAATGACGCAGCTAAGAACGAACCCTATGATCAGAGCTTTGATAGGAGTGTAAGGAGACGATGGCCCGGGAAACCAACTGACGAGAGAAGAAGGTGTGGTATAGACAGTTTCAGAGAGATTTGTTTGAAAACCAGTAGAATTTGCGAGTGAAAACTCAGTATAAGAATCCATACGATGATTCCGAGGGATCAACCGGGGTGTTTAACGGTACCTCTCTGTACATGTGTTATCCATATCTTGGAAATACGTTTCAACTGACTAAACTGATTGGACGGTATTTCAATAAATTAGCGCTACTTAATTTGTACCCTATCCAGTAAGAATATTGATAAGATATTGTTCTTGTAGTTTGGTGTCAGTGTTTATCGTGATTTGTCATTGTCAATGTTTTCTCTATTAAACACTCTTTCATATTTGTAAATTGTAAGTTAATGTTCGTTGCACTAAAACATTAGTCCTTCTTGGGTGTTGAAACAGATTTGTAGTAAATTCCCAACAGAAATCCATTTTTAGATCACTGATCTATATACACTAAAGAGCTGTCGTTTGATTCATCATCCTCCACCTGAAACAAAAGTTAACATATCCATTAGAAATAATATGTTAATGGATGAGTGTAAAAAGTTTAAATTTCAATACCTAATAATATTTATGAATCAAACTTCAAGACACATTATTTACGTTGCACATTATTGCATTATTTAAAACATTGCAATGGTAGGTTACATATTAGTTTCTTGTAGCAGTGTTAAAGATGACTATAGTATGTATCACAAATAACAATTAAATAATTAGCAGATCCATTTTTTTCTGACCCTTTAAAACATGTTATGGTATAGTTAGACTTATTTAAAATGAAAAAGTAGTTTCTCAGGATAACGTTAAGCTATGACAAATCGGAAATTATATGGTATCAAACATGGATATATGCCCATATTCTAACATATGCTATTACTTTTTTGTATTGGTCATGTTTAATCCCTCATTTAAATTACAGCTATGCTAGTGGTCGTTAGTAAGATACAAAGAGACCTAAGCATAAGCACGAACCCTCACGTTCACTATAACTGCCATGTGGCGAAACGCTGCATTTTTTTTAGCACCGACCTACATATCGGGGACTCTGCTCGGTTTTAATAAATATTTGTCCTTAGGGGACTTAGGTAAATTAAGAACTTAATACGCTTACAAAAAACTATAACGTAAAATATCATTCATTTCCTATTATTATTGTATTTTTAACTACAACTATTTTTTTTAAATAATAAAAAAAAACTTAGCATGTAAGATGAATATAAATTTTTAATTAGGATAAATTTAATTTTATCTATTTTTGATAAAAAAAATATTTCCTGTCCATTAGACTTTAAGGTCGTGAGTTTTTCAATAATAATAAATCAACGTGGAAGTTTGTATGAGAAGTAGTGACATTGTATATATTTTTAGCGGCCAATTATGGTTTATAAGCATTTCATAACCGAGTTTTGAAAAATACTAAGTATACAATTCAAGTGTACAAGATAATTGACGTCAAATTTTAACTGATTAATAAAAAAATAAATAAATAACATTAGTGTTGAAGAGGTGGAGTTTTTAAGGTTGGCATTATCTTTTTAATATCCAGTAATAATTTCTATGAACATAACTGATGTTTTATGTGTCGTTTATAAAAATAAGATTAAATCAATAAAGTTTTTCATTTCAATTCAAAAAATATCGTTTACTTTCCCGTAGCAGGAAACCAAAATACTCATAAATATTCAGTTTTTAAAATGGGGAATAAATATGACTTTTAATTGGATATATATTTAAGTTATAATCCAATAGACAAATTGGAATTCACTTATTCTGCAGATTTAGATTGGTGAGGATATTTTATGAACACTAATAAAGAAACCCCTACCTTAGGCTGACGTTAACCGGAACCCTCGGCCTGTGAGACCCCACTTTAAAATACACTAATGATGGGCTTCTGAGACGGGCATGTTATGAACAGACAACCTGTCAAGGTCACGGCACCCATGCAAAATGAACAAACAATATATCAATACGTAGGGGAGGAAAAGGGGGGAAGGTATTGGGGGAATGGAATCTCCCAAGTAATTAGTGTTGCCAACATGCGTTTTTGAAAATTCCCGTGGGCCTGTCAGACCGGGGTTTCTGTATTAGTGTTAAGATGTTCGTGAGAAAGGCCATGACGGATTCTGGAAGCAGGCCTCTACTTATATCAACTAACGTTTCACGTCATCTCCAAAGCAAATGGGACCGGCGGCCAAGTAGGTGTTAGTCCAGCCAACTCGTGTCACACTTCTGTAACACGAGGAGCGACAACTGACAAGACACAGACCACTAAACAAGAACAAATTACAGGGCCTTAGCCAAGACAGCCACCACTTGTGTGGTCTTGCTGGTGTTTACACTGTCTCTTCTTATGCTAATGGGAAGCGTTGAAGTTTTAAAACCTTAGTTAGGTAATTACTCAACTACTATTTTCTTTGACTATTAAAATACCAATAACTACCTAACATGTTTAGTCTCTGAATCACGTAATTTACTAATATAAAGGTTTGTAGTACTTGTCCGTGAACCTGGATTTAGGTCGGCGACCCAGGTTTTGAACCTAAAATTCATTTTCAAGCGATTCCATGGTTGGACCACTGAGTCATGACTCATCTTTTGCCGGCTACACCACGCACGCTACCGTAGCAGTATTATATTAATTGGCAAATTTTGTTTAATGTTTGTGTTTTCGTGTTCGTGTTCGTGTGTTTAACGACTCTTCACAGTTATGAAGAGGATTTGTGTGTTTAGAAGGAGTTTAACCATGGTATCAGCTTAAAAATGCACCTTTATAAATTTTATTAAATCCAGGATCACGGACTAGGATCTCCCATCCCCTGTTAGTCGCCTTTTACGAATAGCCGAGGGAGGCTGAGGTCCTATTCTAATCCTGAGCACCGCACGGACCATAAATATGCTGTTGAATAAACTGGAAGTAACAAATAGGCATTTATTTACAATCTGTATAAACAATCAGCAGTTTATATGCACTAGTCAAAACATTGATCATACTTATATGTTATGACTTAACCTTTAATTTAACCCAACAGTTATAATATTTGCGTTTTTAAATGTCAAAGAAAAATTAATTTATTGAATTTAAACTTGTGTCCTGTGAATATTTATGCCCTGTTTGAGTGTTCCCACTTTAAAATGTTTCCATGATGGTTTATATCACTGTTTAAAAGCAAGAAATGATTAGAAACGAAAAAGCTGCAAACACGTGTTATAAATGTGAAAGGGTTAAGAAAATATAGGCTTGAGTTTCGACAAATGATGGAGTTCAAGGGTAATGGCTTAGACCACGCTCTTTGTCTACAAACAGCACGACATTTCACAATCATAACAATGAATTTAAAAATTGAAGTTTTTTACAAGTAACAATGCGTTTTAAAACAAGATCGAGCTTAGCCTGATAACATTATATTTATATATAAGCAAAGTCAATTAACCGTGTATCATGCTTCCATTTAACTAATGTTTAATTATCCTTATAATATTATGAATATTCCAATTGTAAAATTGTAGGTATACCTAAACATTTATAAGGGTTATGTTTTATACAGATGTAATGACAAGCTATAGCACATGATTTAAGTAGCTTCCCTTACCTACAACATCTTTTCTATATATAATTCAGTTTTAAAATTTTTTTCAACTAAATCTAGAGTTCTACTGGATACTGGTTCGTTGGAAAGCTTAAGTCGTGTAGTTTTGCAAATAATTATGAAAGTTAAGTTTTTGTTATGATTTATGGTGAACAAATTTAAAAACACATGTTTTACATAAGAAATACATAAATAAATAAATTAAAGAATAAAGTTCTCTACGAGCTGGTGGCCCGTCCTACGTACGGGAATCGAGTCGTCAACTAAAACGGAATAATTCAGAACATCCAGTTTACACGGATAGACACAAACTCTGGCAGTTTTAATGGGGAAGATCCACCTTGTAAACAAATGTCACGTGACTACCTATTTATTCCGTTCGAATATAGACCTAAAATATGGTGATATGTATTTTAAATCCGATAATTTTACCATAAAACAGCATTTGTGTCGATTTGAAAAATCTTGAAGTGAGATTGGCGACCGATTCACACTGGTTATGAGTGGAGTAGCTACATGCCACCCCCAATTGCATACTGTACTACTTATGTACTTACCGTACCTTATCTTACCTCCGTGACCACTGAAACTTTTATGAAGATTCTCTTCTATCACCTGCCTCTTCAAAATTTAGATCCCAGTCTGAGGATGCATTTCATAACTTGATATTTCCCGTCTATCAAGTGGTACTCCTTGGAATATACTTTTTAAAAGTTTATGCACAGCCTGTCCATCCAAGCTTTACCCACTTCTGGAAAGCATCCCTATATTTGGGTGTTAAAACATTTCTCTTAGGTCTCTGTTCTTTTTTATTTCGACCTCCGTCCACTATGTTGAACTGGTCTGTATATTTTCTCTGCACTTTATTATCTAACCCATCATTAAGGGTTTTCGGTTCTTTGGTCAGTGCCCAAGTTTCTGAATCATCAGTAGTACGAGGATAGTTGGTATGGTATGAGTCGACTTTGGTTTCTGCTGCACCCTGCAGTTTATTTAACAGTTTTATAGAGACCTACTACACCGATTGACGCTTTCATTACTAATCAAAATTTTAGTATGCCGACATACTCACATTCAAACACACAGAAAAAGAAGTATCAACACGTAAACCACTTATATCTTAAACAATTAAGCGATAAACTGCTGGAAAAATATTTCCCAAATATGAGTTGAAATTTGCAATGCATAAACTAAATACTTACACAGATTGCACTTACGACAAAACTTTATTAAACGCAAGTGTTTGAGATGTTTAGTTCAAAATAACACATTTCCTGATAACGCAGATCCTTCACGGTAAGGGAAAACTACCTACATTTTAAAGTGGAATAGTATGTAAGCAAACACCAACGAACAATATTTTTGTAAACAAACAACTCGTAACATAAACATTTCAATGACAGTTATAAACCAGCTGTTAGTTAAACCAGCATTGAAAATACTTTAAATTGCTAGCGTCGGCTGCTAGACTTTTTAAAAATTAAAACTTAATTTCTAAAAAACTGAAACCCTAAACTAAAATTATGGCTTCGACATTCCCTAGTGAAAATCCGTCAAGTGGTTGATTCAGAATAGTGAAATAAAAAAACACTGTTTCGTTTTAATATTATAGATTTGTTTTTTAGGAAAATCTTTTTGCCCTCCAGAAAAAAGTACAGTTGTATGTAAGTAAAATTAATAAAAAAACTTTTGTTTTTATAATTAAAATATCAAGACAACAAACATTAGCTACCCACCCATACATTAAGATTCATATAAACTACATGTTGTGTGAGAAATAAAAAGCAGAACACCTTATACATATTTAAAAGCAAACATAATCGTAATCCACAAAGGTAATATATTCCAGCTTGTAAAGGCGACAAAAGGACCTCAACGCTAGTTTCAAGGTGTGAAG